AGAGAGAGAGAGAGAGAGAGAGAGAGAGAGAGAGAGAGAGAGAGAGAGAGAGAGAGAGACAGACAGACAGACAGACAGACAGACAGAGAAACGTCTGATGGACGGACAGACCGACCGACAACGACAGAGAGACCAACTGACAGGTATCGACCAACAGACCAATCGACCGATCGACCGACCGAGCGTCTGAGAGACAGACAGACAGAGGATTAGTTATGGGTGGTGTGTGGACAGATGGGTGGATGGATTAGGAATGGAAGAGGAATGGTCAGGAGGGAGGGAGTGATGGGGAAATCCCAGCATGTGAACATATGGAAGGGAGGAGGACTGTGGAGCAGCACCAATGTAGATGCAGGATATAGACCACTGAAACTCTGGGTCGAATTGAAGCACTGTTGCTAATTTGAGCTATACAAATTAATGGATGGCTACCTTGATTACTCTCCCTGGTGGCACACTTCATGGCCTGGCCCCTCCAGAAATCCAGCTGCCAACTACCGTCGAATTGCTACGCTTTACTCCCACTTTCAACCCTTAGCGGGTCCAAATCGCAAAGCGAGTTGTCTAGAATGGCAGTCCTTGACTGATGCAGTTAGAACTTCCCTTCATCGAATGGAGACACATCTACACCCACTCTTCGGATCTGTGAATGAACCGTGGCCAGTGTCCAATTGTACCTCTGACCTATCCCCTTTCTTTCAGGTCATCCAACTTTCACCTGAGCAAACGGTCCATGATCGAGGGTGCCCTTGTGGGCTTAGACCTAATCCTGGATTTTGCCTGTCACCAATTGATAGGACTTCATCCAGAGGTTCCCTGTTCAGTAGCTCCTGCATACCAGTGGTTGGGTATAACCGGGTCCAATCGTGTGTGCCATGGGCTGTGCCTGGACCTGACTGGTGCACTGGTTGGGTGAAGTGCCAATCTTCTGTTCCGGGGTTTGGTCCTGCAGTGTTTCCAGCTCAAGGTTAAGTCAGCAGTATATAGGGCTCTTTGAGTCTGGACAGGCCTGAAGCAGAGGGATGCCCGTTGCTGTACAACTGGGTCCAGTAGTATCGACACAGAGACCTGAAATACACACATTGATCTGGAAAGAGGATGTTGTGATCCAGAAGGATACAAAAAAAAAGAAAAAAAGACAAAAAAGAAGGATATGTATTTCCTTCGGGACATCCGTTAAAATTGGAACGATACAGAGAAGATTAGCATGGCCCCTGGAGAGGCGGTTAATGGAAGGCCCAAAATTCGGCGAATTTTGGCGAAATTTTCACCAAAACTGTCATATTTCCGTGAATTTTTACTTTTTTCATATTTCCCTGAATTTTTACTTTTTTCTCAGTTTTTCTTTTTGCCTGTTATATATATGCTTTAGGGTATATCTGTATTCAGTTTCGCCGTATTTGAAGCAGTTACAAAAAACTTAGCAAAAACACCAGACTCGAAAATGGCGAACTCCAAAAGCTACTCCGAATAGGGATTTATAGTGCTCTTGAGTTTGATTTTTTCTTTTTTTTTTCGCCTGATTGGTTTTTTGATGTTTGTATTATGACCCTGCATAGTTTGTTCGCAAAAGTTTCGACAACATTTCTTGTAGCGACGCAGCGAAAAACCCCGAATTTTTGGCCTTCCATTAACCGCTAGTGTGCAAGGATGACACCCATAAATGGAGAAAAGAAGACGAAGAAGAAGAAGAAAAAAGGAGGATATGTACTCGGGAAGTCTAGAGTCGCCCATGGGAGACTGGGGGCCTGGAGTAGGAGGAAACTCAAATGTGGTGAAGGATGTCGGGAGGTACATCAACGTGATTGACACCGTTTGAAGGACTTGCATTTGGCAGTAATCCATATTACCATCGACATTCTGACAGTTTACACTCTGTCTCTCATCCTATAAGTGATTACGCGTCTTTGAGCAGCAGTATTTTGTCCCAGTCTGACAAAGCTTCTCTCGGAAATGGCGATGGCACATTTCTTTGCTATGCTTTTTTTGAGACCGTGTTTTCCCCTTGTTCAGTCTTTGCCTGACTGTTTTGGTTCCATTTAATGCGCGGTGGAACTTGACTGCCACGAAAGTTTGCTTGCCTTTTTGCACAGGCCTTTTGTGAAGTTGGTTGTTGGTTTCTGACTCAGGAAGTAAGGGTTTAAACTTTAAACTTTGAATGAACAAGGGTTCAAATGTAAGCCAAGTAAGGGGTTAAAACTTTTTAACCACCATTCCCTCTGAGCCTGGTTGCCTGGTGCCGGCAGCCTTTTCCTGCAAGTAGGCTGAGCCCCCAACTATGCTGCAGGGTAGCTTCCACGTTGGAAGAAATGAGATGGCAAAGGGACTAGTGGTTTAAAATGCTCGCTTTGCTGAGAGAGGAACAAAAACTCTTGTCGTGATCCTTGTGCAGGCTTGCTGCAGATTGTGTTTGGTTTGCTATTCCTTTTGTAGCATTCAGCAGAGGTAGTCAACACCTGTCCAGGGACACCACAACTTGTCCATCTGCTCGGTTAATCCCATGCGACATATCGTGGGGTGGGAAGCTTGTGCGAACCTGTCTGGCAACTCGTAATTGTCTCACGCTAGTTCCTGGTTTGGTGCTAACAGCATGTGAGGCAGAGATTTGGGGCTACTGGTGTGGACTGCTGCTGTCTGCTGTCAGTAATGCCAAAAGTTTTATTTCTCTACAACAACTTTATCCTGCAATCGCCTTGCTGCAACCTTGAACATACTTTGCGCACGGTGTTGTTTACAGAACTTGTGACAATCTGTGTCTGACAAGAATGCATTGGAATGGGCATTGTGGCAGGGTGGAACGGACAGAACGCCGTCTGGGAGACTGGTTCAGCTTCCGCTGGAGTCGAGACAGCTGCAGAAGACAACTGGAGGTTCAGGGTTTGGCGGTGATTCCGAAGAAACTGGAATGAGGACAAAGTATAGCAGAAGATTGAAATCCCGAAAGTTCCACAATGGGGTGTTCCAACATGAGCCATCAGACAGTGAGAACCCAGAAGGTTGGGCCACAATGGAGGACCTGGCAAGGAATCCACCACGCCGTTCTAAAGTGACGAAGCGCGTGGTTGACTGCTCGTCGTCTTCACGCTCGAAATTCGTTGCCAAACAGAAAGGAGAAACACACGTGCAACCACAGCAGAGTACTGTGAGTGTAATGACCATTTCAGATGACTTAGAGGGCAAGGACTCCAGGCTCAAGCCCAGGCCCTCTGGAGATGAGGGGTCTCCTCAAGTCACAGGATCTGAGCAGGAGTCGGAGCGAGCCGTGCGCGAGTGGCCAGTGCATGAGGGAGGTGAAGTCCAGCAAGGATCAAAGAACCACACTGGTAACCAATCAATAAAGCAAGCATCCGCACAACTGGATGCGACTGGTCTCCAAAGTGGCGATCAAGCTGCTTTAGTAAGTGTGCCAAGACCATCTGGAGACGAAAGGTCTCTTCAGACTTGGTCTGCACATTGTCCGCCTGACTCTGAAGAACGAGGAAGTCAGCTATATGCGCCAAGGAGACCTGCATCCTCACAAACCCGGGAGCTGGCCAACGGTGAGGGTGTTGGGGAGCAGCAAGGAACTGAAAAGTCGATTTCACTGAACGAAAGTCGAGCCAGTCGCAAGCAACTTGGGGCTAAAGACGATGCTGAATTAATCCCATTGGACATAAAGAAAGAACCCGAATGTTCCCCTGTAACTCCTACAGTTGGCCCTGCAAGCCATTCTGGAAGTGGTGTCATGTGTGGGGCTGGGGATACTGTCAGAGATTGGGGTCTGGTGGAGGACCAGACAAGGGTATGTAAGACTGGAGAGCGGCCGTGGACAGGGATCGCATCGAGAGAGTTCAGAACTGAAGGCAGAGGTTCTCTCTGCAGTCATTCTGTGGATACGAGCTCGTACACTGCAGGTCTGGATAAGGTATCAGGCAAAGGTAACGAGAAGTTGATCGACGATGTGCTCCAGAGGTCTTCCCGAGGCCACCATCACGACGAGCATGGTAAGGAAGATGTAACTGAAGCCACATCAGGGGCACTGAGGGGAGCGATGGAAATCAATGCTGCTGAAACGCTTGGTAAAGATACTGCCTTTAGACAGGGAAGTTCCCGACAGGAATTCCTTGAAAAAGAACAGACGCAAATCCACGTTGAAGAGGACTTCTGCGTGACGAGCAGTGTCGCCCGCGCAAGGGCACGGGATGAGGATGATGACTGTCTCACTGCAGTGGATTTCAATGTGTTTCAGAAGACGACTGAACATGGAGCTAATGGCATACATAACGAAAAGCTCTCTGGGCCAATAGCTCACATCCGCAGGGAAATCAGGCCCTCAAGGAAGGGCCTTTCAGTTGGGGCAGCTGGAATTGGCGGTACAAAGAGGAGCCGTCAAGTTGTTGCAGGAAGGGATGGGAACACATCAGCAGGCATGCTGGAAAAAGATGAATACTTCCAGAAAGGGGGTGATGCGGTTGTGAGCGCAGGAGTTGCAAAGGTAAACAGGAACCATGGGCCATCCGCTCGGATGGGAAGAGGTTCGTCTAGCCGAAGAGAGAAGGGGTACTCTTCGCCGAAACCACCTGGGAGAAGATACAGACGAAAACACTTTTTCAGCCGGTTTTGGCTTGCTTCAGAACAGCGAGAGCTGTGCTTGGGGCCATTTGTCAATCAGGCGGCTGCACAACATGCGTTCGAGGCACTCTCCAAGTGCGCTGGCTTTATTGGCTCTGATAGCATTGAAAACATGTCGGAACGCCGATGTGGTGTTTTCTACCGCCTTTTCGATGGAGGAACTACATACGTTGGTTCAGAAAAGGTAGTAGTTCCGGAAGAGGAAAAGGTGGTGGTGGATGGGAGGCGTGTGGCCCATAACAATACCCCCGCAGAGCTGCTGAATGGTGGCGAGGCAGTCGAGCACATGAAGGGGGATGACATTTCAAAGCTTACTCGGTGGGAAAGGATCCTCCAAGTGACAGAAAAAGCCGCAAATTCACCATCTTCAAATGGCGACAGGATGGAACGGGACAAGGTTGTCCCCTCTAGCTTGGACCTCAATGTCCCAAGCCTCGAAATGACAGCCAACGCACGTTGTGATGGATTTGAAGAGAAACAGGACTGGAACGCTGCCCATGGGAAGCATCAGGCAAGTACCGAAGGCAGGACTAGTGCAGCATTGAGAGGTGCTGAGGTGCAGACAGAGGCAGTGGCAGGAAGACGGTCCAGCGGGATGGAGTTAGCAGCGAGCACCATGGGGGATAAGCTCCATATTAATGATGGGCTTTCCAGTAATGATGTCTTGACTGGTGAGTATCCAGCGAATACCTCCCAGATCAGGAGGTTTCAGGTCAAGGAGCGGAGGAAGGGGGAAGCTATGTGTCAAACAAGACTTGCAGAAACGCAGGGGGCAACCAGAGACTCGGAGCAGGTACAGGCTAGTGATGGGGTCGACACCCTATTGTTTGCCGGCAGGGAGCAAGCCGTTAGCATTGAAAAGACAGGCGGGGTGCTGGCGGAGATGGATGGCAACCTGGTGGAGGCAGGGAATGAGGGAGAAGGAGGCCACCCAAGAGGTGCAGAGGAACTTGATGATGATAGAAGATGCACTAGGAAAAGGCACCAAGGTTCTTCGGGGGGGAATGCTGAGAAGTACAGTGTTCCAGAGGACCAGCTAGTGTGGAAAGTATGCTCAGGAAGGAAGAGGTTTGCGCATGTGATTTCCTACAGAGGAGTGTATATGCACAAAGATGGTTGGTTTTACTACCGGAGTAGAGTCCACGGGGGGTCCCGTATCCGCTACGGGCGGTACTCGACCGCAGAGGAGGCGGCACATGGTTACGATGAGCATGTGAAAAAGTTTCATGGAAAGAGTGTGCTGAATTTCCCAGAGGGTAAGAAGAGATCAATGAATGCAAGGAGCCCAGGGCCCAAGCATGCGAAGGACTGGCAGGTGGAAGGGGCCATGATTACAGGGCGAATAGGAAAGCCACTGGGAAAGCCAATGGTTGGGGCCGGAGAGGAAGGACCCAGTCTGTCAAGGCTATCAAGCAGAAGGGGCAAGGGAATGCGGAAGCACGTGGACGAGCTTGAAGAGGAGGTTGGCCTGGCAGCATCTGCAATGAATGCCAAAGAAGTTGGGCGGAGAAAGAAGTGGAGGGGAGCAGGTGTTCATGCAGTGAAAGGCGGGATGGACAGAGGGAGCCCTAGTCTGGATGTTTATCCTGAAGTTTCGATATCGGCTGAAGCAGTGCGAAGAGCGATTGCAAAAGGAGGGAAAGAGGGCCAAGGGGCTGATGAAGCACTGAACAAGTTGCTTAGGTCGTTACTTACGGAGGTGGCTCTGAAGGATGGTAGGAGGGTTGTAGGAAAGGATAACGGGAGCATGGAAGTGGATGGTGGTGGTACAATGCTAAGCGGCGATGGACTTACTGCAGGTGACAGGTCAGACCTGCTGAGGCAACGTGAAGGCCTACTGCTCCAGAAAGCAGGTGCGCTTGGAAAAGAGAAGGCAGTACCGGGCACTGAGTTACAGCCAGTGCTTTTGGGATGTGCTGGAGAAAAGAAGGCGGGAGAAAAACCACGGCGTGGTGGCCGGAGGAAGTTCAAGGGTTGGGGACGAAAAGGCAAGAGGTGTGGACCAAAGAAGAAAGCCTCAGATCTGCAGGGTTCAGACGATTTGGCAGAGGTATCTGGACATATGGAAAGCACTTCAAAGGTAGTGCAGAGGTTGGAGCATTATGGAGAGAACATGACCAGACATGCATCACCGAACTCCCCACGGGAAGAAGCAGCTCTTCGAGCAACTGCAAATGCCAACAACGTCCAAATGGTGGCTGAAGCAGCTGCGGCACGGACTAACCATGATAACCAGGCAACAGCGGAGGGGCCTGTGCCTGCTGCTGCGACACAGGATGCTTATCAACGGCAGGAATTGCAGGATGAGGGTCAGGCAGCAGCAGCACTTCTTCAAGCTGGGGGGAGATCGGTGTATGATGATGATCAACGAGTAAAAAGGAGGTGTGCGCGTGCTCGTTTTACGTCAAATATTCCTTGTGTGTGGGACACTCCTGTTCGGAAGGACTTTTTCAATCCATTCAAGGGATGCACTCCCGGTGGAATGCCTCCAGGCAGCGGATGCACGCTTGACCGGGTCGGCAGCCCATTGATAGGAGAGTCATCAATCATTCAGAGGATAATCGATGACGAATGCAGAGGTGTTCCTGCACTGGGAGGGGAAGGCTCGACGGTGCCAAGGGCACCTCCTTGTCAGATGGGCCTGTCTGAAGCAGGGGGTCGTTTCTCGCAGGAGAAAACTGAGGGTGGCGATGGCATGTTCTCCCCCCAAACCCCTTGGTTTTCAAATCCAGTGTTTCCGAAATCGTCGTTTCCATCCCACTCTGATAAGTCGTCTCCTATGCATGCCTCGGATGGAATGGAAAATCGTGACACCATACCCTGGCCACGCCACCACAGTTCAAGCTTGACAGAGGTAGCAGCCAACCCCCTCTTGGATCCTGATACAGCTGCTGCTGGACCAGGCACCCCCTCGCCACCTGTTGAGACAGTTGTGCAGGTTGACAGTGCTTCCGATAGCATGGTGACAAGTCGGGTGGACTGCGCTTTGGCTCAAGGATCTGATGTGGGTGTGCGGGCTTTGCAGTCACAGCCGTTTATCCCCCGGATGTTTCAGCAAATGTCCTCGGACGTGCCCAGAAGAATCACCAGCGATATGTCCAGGATGGGTGAAAGGGGTAGAGCAGGCGAACTCACAGAAGGAACTACAGATGACAACATGAGAAGAGGCTCAGAAGAGATGTGGAATGTGAACATTTACTATGATGGGATAAAGAAGCATAGTACTGGCTGGTTTAATGATTACTCAAATGCGTTGGACGCGAGGGATGCAATGATTGACAGGATTCGGAAGATGGGTGACGAAGAGCTGGGAACAGCTGTGCAGGGCAGCCCTGCAACAGCTTCAGGCAGTAAAAATGAAGCTAAGGGGGCCGAAAGATCTGGCGAAATGACTAACCATCAAACTATTGAGTGGGAATTAGTCGATTCAGCTGGCAACATAGTATGTTGTGGAAGCGAGGAGCTGGAGTGGAAAGAGAAACCGACCCTTCCATTCGAGAACGGGAGTGATAGAAAAGCACCTGAGGGCATTCAGCGAGGTCGTGCAGAGGTTGGAGAAGAGATACCAGGAAAGCAGAAACAGGAAATGGTTGTGGGGAGGGATGACCTGTTGGGGAATCCGGTAGAAGTGGCGAGGGAAGCAGGACCAGAGGACCAAGAAGTGCAAGAGGGGACGGCACTTGGAGAAAGGATGGAGGGGAAAAGGATGGAGGTTGGAGGAGGAGGTAATCAAGAAGTGGGGCAACTTGAACGACAGGAACGATGGGAGGACGGCAGGGAAGGCGTGGTGGAGGGAGGAGAAGTGAATGAGAGATACAGGACTGTGGAGGGAGAGCCTCTCAAGAAGCAAGGAATGCATGGTGGAGGGGCAGAGATGCAACCGCAGCCTTTGGACGAGGTAAGACATGGAGAAAGGGTAGAGAAATGGAAGGGGATAGAGAGGGCAGGGGAAGAGGCGAGGGACGGTAAGCAATGTGAAGAGAGGAACTGCGCTGGGAAGGTAGAAAGGCAAACAGAGGGAGATGCGCAGTGCCCACAGGATTCTGGGAGAATGCAGAGGAGGAAAGGAGTTGATCCCGTGGACAGGCAAGCACAGAGTGAGAAAACAGAGGCGGGTGAAGAGGAGTTCAAGGGGGCGAAAAGTGATGGACGGGGAGAAAGAGTAGTACTCGATGGGGAACGAGAGGAGAAAATCCAGGAACGAATCGAGGGAAGAAAGTTGGCACGAGGAGATGGCAAAGAAGATGCTGACAGACGTCCAGAAAATGATGCAGAGGTCAGAACGGAAGGATTGAGAGGCGGGCAGGAGGGTAATGAACCTTCATGGAAGGGGATTGCCGGTCGGAACGATGGCTGGCTGAGGAGAAAAGATGGTGGACAAGGACAGGACGAGGGGTGTGATGCCGTGGCCCTTCAAGACAGCAGAGGTCATTTTGGATTAGTCGAGGCTACTCAGGATGGATGGCGGATGAGAGACGGACGGATGCACGAGGATATGGGCGGTCTGGAGGGGCTTCAAGACCGGGGAGGCAGTCTTATACCCCCTGCTGATGCGAGCAAAGGATGGCTGAGGAAAGACGGGCAAAGGAATGAGCAAATGAGTCATCTGGAGGGGATTCAAAGCAGCCTTTCCAATCTCAGACCAGCTGGTTGTTATCAGTATCCAGAGGTGTGCCCAGATGCTGGCCTTGGTGAAGATCAAAGAGGCCAAATTGATGTGAAGCCTGGTTTGAATAGAGGAAAATGCTCAGATCACAATCTTCCGTCCATGTTGGTTGATTCAGTTGGGTCATGTTTAGTGCCTGACGAGGGCCGGACTCGGCAAGGGAACCGTGATGACAGCCTACTTCCTCTCACAGAGAAGGGTGGAAGGAGAAAAGGCCATATTCCTGCAAAGCATCGCAGGGCTCTCTGAGGTCGATCTTGTGACAGGTGATGCTGAACCCCATATTTATCGCTGAGCAAGTGCGATACTTGTTTTTGTCCACCCCTCTGCTGGTCTCTTGGTTCCGATCAAAGCTTGAAAGCGTACTGTGAAAGGTCTCAGCGCCCACACGCCGCCTTCCAATGTGCAAATCGTCTCTTGTGCACCTGGTATAGCGCCACACGTTTGGGCGCTTGCGCCTCACAAAATCAGAAGCAGCCTCTGCTTCCGTCTTTTGTGTGTTGTGAGCTGAGCCGCAGTGGGCTATTTTGACTGGTTGGTTTTGTCAGTATGTGCGTCGGACATTCATTCAGTTAGCAGGTCGCTGCAATTGTTTTCTTCCAGCAGGAAGTTGCTGTGGCATTTCCTGTTGTTATTCACGAAGTCTTTCCAACATCAGATTTTGTGTTATGCCGTTTTTTCTTCTGCCGGTTCTTGCAGTAGACAAATTCCTGATGAAGTCGAAGGCACATGACTATGAATTACCTGAGTCGCAGCACAGTGCTTCGCAAGCTTGATAGAATTGGCAGGTGGTTGGCGGGCTGTGGAAATCAGCTGAGCTTCTCATTCTTTCGTTGAAGTTTAAGGGCCAAGCAGACGGTGGTTCATGGTGTCCTTCAAGCTTTTGCGGCAGTTGTTTTCCTGTTCATCCAAGTTCTCTGCCAGTTGACGAGCAAAATGGGATTTCTTCCGTGTGTGGACTCAGATCCTGTGGTGTTCCCATTTGAGTGACGCACCGCAGAAGCTCGGTACGTCTTCACTTGATCCTTCCAGCCTCGATGGGCTGCAGATGTTGTTTGGGTTTTGCTGACTGTGTCCATACACATGAAAACTCACCAGAATAGGAAAACGTCCGGAGTGTGGGTGGTAAGCGTAGACGGACGGAGGGAGGGAGGCGAACCCCTCACAGACTGATGCCAACGTCTTTTTCTTGCGTATCGAGCCACTGTAGCAGTGTCGTTTTTTTTATTAGGTTTTTGTGTTCATCTGTTATATTGCCAGCAGTTGATACAGTTCATGTATCTGGTGTTCAATTACCAGCACCTCCTGTCCTCTGGTCATGTTTAGTTTCATGCCAATCTGGATTCTACACACACGGTCGCAGTCAGAGCTGTTTGCAAGCTTGCCAAATGGAAACACCAAGGCGCACCTGTCCTCTGGTCATGCCTGGTTTCTTGCTTATCTTGTCTTGATTTTGCACACTGGGTCACAGTAATAGATGTTTCCGAGCTCAAGAAAAGGAAACACCGAGGTGGATCTGCACGACATCGTCCGAGTGAGAGAATGCCCACCTTCACGGCAATCATTCAGACTGGTATCGCATTGAGAAGCGCCCAGTTGACTGCTAGCAAATGTAGTGAGAGAAAGGACACAGTCGTCATCGTGGTGGTGGCCGGAAAAGAAAGGACCGAGTTATAGAAGCTTCCTTAGTATGTGCATGTGAAGACTAGGAGGAGTGTCTTCAGAACTTTTTGTTCCCTTTGTTTTGGGGAATCGCAGAGGGCCAAGCTCATGTTATATATCTTCTTGAGTGACTGCTAATGTGAATTGATTTGGTGGGTCACTGTGGCACCCATGTATGTAGATTGACCATTGGTTTGAACTGGGGTTCCCTCAGGGTTTCATGGAGATGGTGTACATGCCTGATGCACATTGAAAGCGCTCAGCCACTGTTCAACATTAGGAGGCCTCCATCTATTGCTGTGTCGGGTCAGAACTGAAGCTCTATGTGCACGGTATCCTTCTTGGAGTGTGGAGTCGATCCGTCTGCAACATGTGACACTACTCCCAAGGGGCAAGGTACGTAACGAATGTGCTTGTTCATCAAGAGTAACCATCTTGTACGAGCTGGCTGTAATTAAACTTGAAGAGAAGAAGTCCGTCATTGTGATATATGTACGATGGTCATACGGAGCCGAGCAAGCCTCTCATTCTGCACAGCAACACTCTCCTCCTGCCTAAGGAAGGAATTTTGCGCTGTCCATTCATTGCCATCCTTGTAAGATGGTAGGTAGTCATGCCCAGAGGCTATGTACATCTTGTAGCTAGCGGAATAGAATTAGTGGATCCACACCAGGTCACATCAGAGGCGAAGAGGGGATCGCACATCCTTCAGCGCACTAAGGAAATGTCGCCTGGTAGTTGGAGATTCTGAGCGGGAAGTAGGATGCAGCCGGAAACTGTTGAAGCGGAATGAGGTTTTGCATGTAAAGTGGAGTGGATTTTTTCTCCTTTTCAGAACCTTTCCTTGGAGCTGGTGTTTTGATCACCAAGTCAGGTGATCAAAACCCCGCGAATCGAGCTGGACGTCATGAAGCGGTATGGATTCTCCCTTCGAGCACCTTTCCTTGGATCTGTTTCGGTCATCAGGACAGTTGATCAATAACCTGCACATCCAGTTGCACGTCAAGCAGGGTGGATTTTTTCACTTTTCCAGCGCCTTTCCTTGGAGCTGTTTTGATCATCAGGACAGGTGATCGAAACCTTGCAGATCGCGTTGCACGTAAAGCAGGGTTGATTATCTTACCCTCTTTGCCTGTCCCTGGAGCTGTTTTGATCATTGAAAAAGACAGGTGTGTAAGGCCTGCGTCTTCTTCCTCTGCGTTTGTGTACTCCCAAGTGATCCATGATGGGAAGTACCAGACACAAGTACCAGAGGAAAGAACCAGTGGAGAGTGTCAGAGGGGAAGGTCCCAGGGGAAAGTACCAGAGGAAAGTACCAGAGGAAAGTACCAGGGGAAAGTACCCAGGGAACGGTGTATTACAAGATGGTGCCAAAGGAATGGATGGCAACATTTTTCTTTTGTGATTGAAAGTTTGACTCCATTGTGTGCGTTGTGATGTTGTTGACTGGTGGATCCTGAAGGCGGAGAGCATGTGGCTGTTGGCTCTTCTTTTGCTTTTCTTTTTTTTCTTTTTTTCCCCCCCAAAAGGGGGTAGGTAACCAACCCCTAACTAAGGTTATTGTATCCACGAACAGGATTTGAAGTCACAATCTGACCGCCAACAGTATGGGTGTGTAGTACTGTGTGCCATTCCTCCTCCAGGCACATACGGACGATTGCGCTTCTTATCATCGTCGAGCAAGAGATAGATTGTTGAGAAGGATGGATGGTTTTGACATCCTCCAGCTTATAAGGATGGAGTAACGAACAAATCGGTCGCTACTGCAGAGCCTGAGCTTGGCTGCCACCAGTGCAGCGAAGTCAGTACAGCACTTCTGCTCGGCCTGCGGTCGCGCGGTGCAGCTGTTCCGGTGTACCTGTGGATTTGTTAGCAATCAGTTCCTTGGAAGTTCATCCCCCTTGACCGTGCCTTCACAAGTTCCGCGGGACTAACTGGCAAGTATACTCTTTACTGCTGTGACAGTGCTGTCATTGTTAGGTTGATTAGTTTTGGGTGTATGGAAGATTGTTTGTTTGTTGTACTTCGTTCTAGGAGATTCCACTTATTCTGAAGGTTCTTCACGTTGAGGGTAAAGGTTATGCCCTTATTCTTCTGAATACCTGCTTTGTTGTTTTCAAAAAGCCAACAAATAAGCGAAGCCAAGGAACCAACCACAGTGAGAAGAAGCAAGCCATGGTAAGAAGAAGTAAACCATGGTAAGTAAGAGGAAGCAGACCATGTTTAGAAGAAGTAAACCATGGTCAGAAGCAATAACTGTAAAGCGGTACCATGGTCAGAAGCAATAACTGTAAAGCGGTACTAAAGCCACAATGGCACAATCAAGTAAGGAGAGATGCAAAGGGTGGCAGTCAATGCCCCATTTTTGCAGACCAGGCGGTTTTTTTTTTTATTATTATGAATGTGGACCTGGAGGGGGGGGAGATTGGATGCTGGATCATTTGAATGTGCCAAAGGGGAGATTGGCTGCTGGATCATTTGAATGTGCCAAGGGGGAGATTGGATGCTGGATCATTTGAATGTGCGAAGGAACAGTGGAAAGAGCCCAGCCGTCTTATATCTGACGAATAGTTTTTTTTTTGTCATGATTTTTGCAGCCGCTTCTCATCTTTGGCATCTTTGGCTGTGGTCTTTGCTTTTGAGAATAGTCCTTGTCTTCTCCAATGGTCTTTTGTTGTTGTTGTTGTTGTTTTCCCATGCAAGAAATATGAGCGAGAGCGATAGACAGAAATCTAAGTTGCAAAATCTCGAAGTAGTCCAGATAGTCATGTACCAAGCAGAGAGCACAGTGCACCAAGATACCATCCAATTAAAGAGCAATACAATGAACTTGAGTGCCAATGCCGACGCTCTCTGGTCACACCAACACTATCGAATGCTGCTCCTACTGTCTGGCGCCCAGCGCCCAGCCTACACTACTCAGCCTATATATCCTATCTACGTTCATGTGATTGGATCACATCAAGGTTGGAGACCAATGTACATGACGTCATCACCAATGCCGACCGCCAGCATACACCAGGTACGTTCTCTCTCCTCCCCTCGTCACACCTTGATCCCCTCTGCATGCGCCTCCTACCCGAAGACATCATTGCCATCACCTGTACCACATGCAAGCTTGGCCCGGCTATGGCCGCCGTGCGGCCGCTGCCAGAGCAGCGCCCTCTCACCTCTTGGCGCCCGCGTGTGCCCTGGCCAGCAGTGCTAGCGCAGCTTTGTACGATAACGCAGCAGCGTGGCTGCATCACCTGTACAGGCCAGAATGCCCTTGCCTGGGAAGGGCACTTTCGGCCCTGTGTCTGGCTGCTTGGGCCTGGCTGGAGAAGTTTCCAGTAGCTTCCAGTCGGACCCCAGTATCTGTGCGCAGGCGCACCTCTGCTGTTACGGGCCTGGGCCCTCTACAGTTGGGCACGTCCAGGCAGGCGTCCATGGTCCAAGTGTCAGCCGCATTCTCATTGGCCCGTGGAGGTTGTGTGACGACAATGCTGCTTTCTCATTTGTCCGCGGCCAGTGTGTGATGTGTCGGCCTCCCAATGTGTCTGCCCAGGGCGCAACCAACAGGGGCCCTGGGCTCAACTGTGCAGCGCAGCTGTTGCTTCTGGAAGGAGCCAGCAAAGGCTCACGATGCTGTAACCAACTAGCGTGCTGCAACTATCTGATACCCTACATATGGAAAAATGTCGAACAGAGGCCTAACGTGGATATTCAGGCCCGCCTTCACTTAGGGCGGGCACAATGCGTGCTGGGGGCCACAGCCCAGAACACTTGCATGTCTGTAAGGTCCCCGTGACGGCTCAATCCTTGCACCCAATTGTCTTATATGTCGAGAACTCGAGAATGGTTCATTCTCTTGCCTATACTAGTGGCTTTTTTTTGCCTTTGTAATGAACCCAGTCTGGCAGATACTCCGCAGTCGTCAAACATCAATAGTCTCAATATCTGCAACAAAGTTTCCAAATCGTGAAGTGATATCTCAAACAGCATCTCATTACCATTAGAAGAAGAGAGTGGAGGGGGAGCAGACAAAGGAGAAGGTGGAAGAGATGATCAAAGATCACACAATAGTAATCCCTTCAAACCCCTCTCCTTCTCCGGGCTTCTTCCCTCTCCATGTCAACAACCAGTAGATGATAATAAGTATAGTAATCCTGAGCACACGCAGCAGTGCCACGTGGCACTTTATCTCGTGAAGACCATGAAGACATCAGATTCCAATGACAACGTCAACCTCAGGTGAGTACCGATATCCTCCATCATCAGATCCCAATCTTCCTCCTCCTCGCAACCAGTCGCCTCATGTAGACAGCGTAGACAATGCCACATCAGCAGTCGAGACAAGTGGGATACGCCACATCATCAATGAAGACCAGTGACAGCATCACATCAACATGCAATGTAGACTAACGGCAGCGTCACATCAGCATGCAATGTAGATCAGAGGCAGCGTTGTCGAGCGCATCGGTTCGGCACTGCACGAGGCAGCGCTGTCGAGCGCATCGGTCCGGCACCGCACGAGGCAGCGCGGGACCCTCTCGGCCGCGTCACGTAGGAGTTGGACCAACGTCGTCACGAACACACAAATGAAGTTTCCTTAGGCCGCTTCGGCCGAGTGCGCCAGCCATACCTCTCGCGAGCCCCTACGACAGGATAGGGCCTACGCGAGGCACAACTTACCTCCACCTTACGGGAGTTGTCACCTCCATTGGGTGGGCGTATCCCCGTCGAGCTACCAGTCCACAGTACGAAAGCTAATCAGTTGCAATCGCAGAGGTGGACCAGCCGAGGGCGTTTCTCGTTCGCTGTAGCATAGGGGGTACGCACGGTAATACGCCTCTATCGACCCCGCTCGCGAACCGACATCTTGGGGGGCTGAGGTCCCAAACACCTGTGGTGGCAGTCATTTCTTGCGGCCCTGGAGGCAAGTCCTGCTCCAGGCCTGGGCAAAAGTCAAGGGGTTTGACTTTGATGGATGCCACGGACTATAACGTCCAACCATGAAAACCTTAAAAAGCAAGAGTAGGCCGAAGGCCTCCCTCCCCCAAAAATCACGATTCGGGTATTCCCGTTTTTTCTTTGGTTGCCACCGCGGTCAGTGTTACCGCTGAACAACCGCGCACGCGTATAACTCCTTTGGTCCCATTACCTTTCGAAGCCAGGGCAGCGCTGCGTCGCACGTCGAACTTTGATATAAAGTCGCGCGGCCGCAGACCGATCCTATGCCAACTGACGATGCTAGTCATACGAGGTGATCGCGGCTCCGGCCTCGCGATATTGAATGGTTGAAGGAATATATCGAGAGGGGTCACCCCTCACGATATTGAACGGCTGAAGGACGCGCCGTTCGGCCCTCGCGACATTTTCGCCCCTAGGGTTAGGTGTCTCGATGGGCAGGGTGAATAGGCTCTGCGCGAGGGGAAACCCTCCCTCTGCAGAGTCCGGGGCTTGAAATGCCGTGGACAAGTACCTTGAGTCCCGGCCTAGGACTAACGTCCGACTAAAAGCCCCCAAGAAGCAAACAAGGAAAGGGATGGGTCTTCCGTATGCCTCTCAGCCTTAACCTCTGAGTAGGTTTTTAGCGTGGGCCCCCTTAGGCCTCGCGAACACCCACCGTAAATACACCCAAGCATACACACACAAGGGAGATAGAGTTGCGACGATCAGTTCTCACAGGCACAGTGGGGCTCCTTACGAACATATGTACATATATGAGATTGCAGGCAACCCAAATCCAAAATCCGAGCCACAGGGCCTACCTGCAATCACATCAAAGAATCGAACAACGAACCACGCCCTACACGGAGTCAACCCCAACCACTCTCCGCACGTATACCCTTTGTTTTAGTCATGCAAACCCCAATCTCCTATCTCCTGTCCAACCAACCATAATTAAATACTCAGTACCTTTGTTAAACGGCCATTCAATAAAAGTCCGGGTAAAACCCTTAAGAAACAGTAAAGTCAGCAGGGCTAAAGCCTTTTAGGTTGGGTATGGAGAGTGGGTTGGAATTGGGTCGTAGACCGACGAATCGGCAACCGACTTGTTATCAATGATAACAGAAGACGATCCTCAGGGGATCAACTGAATCCAGTCCAAGTCCTGAATCAGATCGATCAAGCTGACCTGTAACATAAGATAGGTCAACGTCCATGACTAAACCTGTAAGTCCTATGGGGAATACCCTCTATATCATTGTCTCACCCAAGCTCCAGTTAGCCAACCAGATCTAAGTCTGCTTCTAGTTAATGCCCAAGGAAAAGGTAGACCTTTGGCTGGATCTCCTCTATACAGAGTGGATTGCCAAAATTTGCCACCTGTCAGAATATAATCTAACTCCTCTAAACTCAGGAAATTTTGGCAGTGCTTCCCGTAGGAAAACTGCCTTTCCAAAATTTATACAGGCCCGAATATGAAGACTAAGTAGTCTTTGATTTCCCAATTTCAAATTTTGTCTAACACTCTGGATTAGCAAAAAATTGGGCAGCACTCCCTTTATAAAAGGAGACTTCTCATATTTCTACTAAGCCATATATGATATTCAGACAAGTTGAACCTTGGAAAATCAAATTTTTGA